AAAGAAAGAAAGAAAGAAAGAAAGAAAGAAAGAAAGAAAGAAAGAAAAAAAGAAAGAAAGAAAAAAAGAAAGAAAGAAAGAAAGAAAGAACAATTTCTCATGGGTGACAGACATTCTTTGTGTCAGATATTTAAAACTATAATGATTTTTGGAGTACAAAATGTCTGGCATTCTGCAGTTCCACCTAAGGGTTTATAGTTTTCTTCAAAGCACAATTTGATTGCCAACAGGCCAATGTGGAAAGACAAGACAGAATGACATTAACTGCTATCAGGTGATAAATTTATTATTTAACCCTGCCTGGGTCTACGTCAAGCTTTGCCAACTTGATGCTGTCCAGAGATATTAAGACCTCAATGTGGGCTTGATGGCACAGATTTGGAATAGTTTTGTGCATTTCTGCATTGAGCAAGAGGTTGGATCAGATGACCTAAGGAAGTCCCTTCTAACATGTATCTTACATGAATCCAAGAATTCCTAGCCAGCTTAACCTTGGAGGTATTGTCTGGGGATACTGGAAGCTACAATCAGCAGCATGTAAAACCAGACCTAGGAGGTACCTGATTGTAGAGACACTCTGGCATAGATGACAACCACTATAGTTCATTGGATTGGCTATTCGAATATAGAGGTTGAACTACTAACATGAAATTGGTGACACCCAGATTCAGGTCTGAACAACCATGAACCTTATTGGTGATTTGAGGCAAGTCACTCTTTCAATTTACTTCATAAGGTTGTTGTTACCAGGGTAAAATGAAGTATCAATCTGAACTTCAAAAGGACAGCTAGGATGTGCTGTATTCAGAGATCTGACAGAAATCAGACTTTGATTTGAAAATTATCTTCATCAATGGAGGCAGTCCAGACTAAGTCTAATTGAAGATACAGTTTCACCACAGGACTGAGGCCCATGTGGACCAAGAAACTGTCCATTCATAAAATGTACCCACAAGATTCATGACTCTGATGTATTTCTATTTCTATTACAAACATTTTACCGAAATGTCCATTTACATTATCCAAACCCTTTAGACTTTTTTTCTTGGGGTACAATGATGCAGAAGTGGCTATTTTAGCTGCATAGTTTGAGAAACATGGTAACAAGGCCTATTGGGCTGGGGTTCAAGGCTAGAGAAGCATGACTACTCATCAGTCAGTTGAAAACTGCTTTGTGGGTAGAAATATTTTGGAGAAAAGAGCTGACATCAGCCAGGATTCAAGATGGAAATGTCTTTCCAGGTAACATTCAGAAGCCCCATTTAACATGTAGAAGAATGGTCTCCAAACGTGGCAATTTTAAGACTTGTGGACTTCATGGCTGGGTGGGGAATTCTGGGAGTTGAAATCCACAAGTCTTAACGTTGTCAAGTTTAGAGCCCCCTGATGTAGCTAATCAAGAAGTAAGCAGATATTATTATCCCAGTAATTCCCCCCTCAAAAGGAAAGCTAGATAAAGGGAAGGAATTCCACAGATGATAACTAGTTAAAGCCATTTGATATATTACATGTAAAAAAAATTTTTTTGCCTCTGATATCAGTGTGTTCTATGCACTTAGGCAACAATCACACTTCATGTTTTATGGGCTATTCTTAAAATATCTGTACCAATAAACACAACATATAAAAGACCCTGATTCTTCAAATAAAGAGTGTTTCTCCACCAGCATCAAAACTCAGTGTATCTCAAGAAAGCGTAAAGAATATTTCAGAGCTCAAGAACCAATTAAAAACTTGGTAAATAAAAATAATACCGTGCAAGCATTACAAAGTTGGATGAGTTAATCCTAACTCTCAACATTTCTGTATTTTGTATTTTGAAGTGGAATTAATTGGCCTTCAAGGAGAAGGGAAGCGGATATTATTATCCTTATTGTTCTTATTACCTAAGCAATCTATTTTGCACCTCCTCTTTAGTTAATTTTGCACGTGGGCTTTTCCCTCAGAATCTTGAATGAAGCAGATTTGGGGGAAAAAAGAAGCAGCACTTGAAGTTAATGGAAAAAAATAGAAAAAGAGGATGAGTGTTTTCTGGAGTCTTCCCCAGCTGGCCTGCAGATATAGGGAGAGAGGGAGCCAACATCACTCCCATATGTGCACATATGCATCCCATTTAATTATTGATTTTTTCTAAGTCAGGTTCACTGCTCTTTGGGGGGAAAAAGGAGTAAATAAAGAGCCTGCTTAACACAGGCTTATCTTTGAAAAACGTTGGTCAGAAGTCAAGTGTGCAGACTTTCCTGTAGCCCAAGCTAAAATGACCAAGGAAATCTGTGCAGCACAAAATAGCCAATAGGAGATGGACAGATCCCAGCCTCTGGCTATGTTTACAGCAACCCCATCGCTGAGACGTTGTACATCATTCATACGGCGAGATTTGTGTTGGGGGAAGAAAAAGAAGAAAAACACTATTTTGAGAGGTTGTTAGTGCTCTTTGAGATTGCTTGTTTTCTTGCAGATGTTTCATTACCCAAATGAGGTGTATACTTACCTTGGGTAATGAAACATCTGGAAGAAAACAACCAGCTCAGAGAGCGCCAAGAACCCTGGCAGTTTTTGCCCTCTTCCCTCCCACCTCCTCCTCCTCCTCCCATTCTCTTTCTCCTCCACTCCGCAAACCCCACTCCCTTCTAACCCTGATGATGTTAATATAGTTTGAATAATGAAATAATGTCTGTCAGAAAACAACAAAGCTCAGATAGCACCAAAACCCCCTCCTTTCATCCCTGAGCTAATCTCCTTTATTGAAAACATTACTTAAAAACTAGAACAGCTAAAGACAAATATAGGTTGTCTCCATCAGAGATGGGACAACAGCCGCGTAACAAGGCTACTTCCTTTAAAAATAGTTTTTGAAACATCTTCATGCTACAGCAAATAGGAACGGTAGATGAGCCTGTAGAATTATACAACTATTGTTCTGCCAAAATAATAGTAATGTGGACAGGCATTGCATCACTGCATGTTGATGAATGGATGATGCTACCAAGATGCTATGTGATCACTCATGGGGAAATGACATAAGCCAGACCAAAGGTCAAGATGAATTAAGCCACACACATGATGTGGGAGGAACCATGAGAGAATCTCCTGGTTTTTAGAAAAGCTCATTACAACTATTTCCACTATCCCAGTATGAACCCAAACTATAAAACTGATGGGTTTCTTTTAACCCATTTTCCTTTTTTATTTCTTTTACCTGCAAACTGGTCATTTAGAAGAAAACTTGGAGATGGTTGATGCACTTACATTGGCAATAGAGAAGTGTCACATCAATAATTGTTGTTACGTCCCCAAACCTTCACAGCTTCAACCTCAAACTGTCTACTGTGGACTTCACTCCCTTCCTAAGAGGTTCGTAGAGGGGTCGTGCATAACAGAGGTGGTATGCAGAAGGTTCTGGTCAGTTCTGGGGAACCAGTAGTGGAAATTTTGAGTAGTTTGTAAAACTGGCAAATACCACCTCTGACTGGTCTCACTCCCATCTATTCTCTGTCTCCCGAGTCCCAGCTGACCGGCTGGGTCTTCTTTTGTTGCCCTGCAAAGCAGGTTAGTGGGGTTGGGAAGGAATGGACATTTTGCAGTATCCTTCCCCTGCCACAACCACTAAGCCACACCATGCCTACCAAGCCACACCCACAGAACCAGTAATAAAAAAATTTGAATCCCACCACTGGTGCATAAGTGCACCAACATGCCTACCATCCCTGCCTTACTGTCCCCGTTTAGTTGTATTCACTTCCTTCGTCCATGTTTACCACTCTATGAAGCCTTAGTAAGACCACACCCTAGACTACTGCATCCAGTTTTGGTCACCACATTATAAAAAAGATGTTGAGACTCTAGAAAAAGTGCAGAGAAGAGCAACCAAGATGATTAAGGGACTGGAGGCTAAAACATACCATGAACGGTTGCAGGAACTGGACATGGCTAGTCTAGTGAAGAGAAGGACCAGGGGAGACATGATAACAGGGTTCCAATATTTGAGGGGCTTTTACAGAGAGGAAGGGGTCAAGTTATTTTCCAAGGCACCTGAAGGCTAGACAAGGAATAATGGATGGAAACTGAACAAGGAGAGATTTAACCTGGAAACAAGGAGAAACTTTCTGACAGTGAGAACAATCAACCAATGGGACAGCTTGCCCTCAGAAGTTGTGGGAATGCCATCACTTGAGACTTTCAAGAGATTGGGCTGCCATTTGTCAGAAATGGTGTAGGGTCTCCTGCTTGTGCGGGGGGTTGGACTAGATGACCTATAAGGTCCCTTCCAACTCTGATTATCTGTTATCTGTTTATGTTTGTACTTATATCTGCTATCTTGTACACGTTTGACAAACAAACAGACAGACAAACCTTCATGACCTGTTCAATCGCCAAAGTCCAATCTTTAAGCTAATCAATGAAGCGTTTGTTCCAGCTGTCTTGAGGACGTCTTTGTGAAACAACAACGGCAGTAATAATTCAATCCAGACCTACATTCACAAATATTTATCTGCTTCTCCTTAGGAGGGTAATAATTTGAAACTGGTTTGGCATGCCCAGAATTACATATTGTCCCCATATTGTCCCCATTATGCACCAGCTATTATTCCCCTCTGGTCTCCCTGTGGGGACTGCTTCTTAATTTGCTCATATTTGGCAGAGATACATCTTCACTGGGAATAGAATAGAATAGGGAAAGAATGGAATGGAATGGAATGGAATGGAATGGAATGGAATAGAATAGAATAGAATAGAATAGAATAGAATAGAATAGAATA